CCCGCGACCTTTAGAATAGCACTCCGTTACACAAACCACTACGCCATCCGGTCGTCCTCAACAATAATGAGGTTTAAACCGAAACCTTACAAAAAATTAAGAATGATAGTGTGTCTCCGTGTCCTAATCACAGAGACAAAAGGATTAAAAAAAGTACATAACATCTTCGAGAAAAATACAGAAACGCACACTAAACAAGACAAAAAATACATAACATCTTCGAGAACAATACAGAAACGCACACTAAATAAGACATAAAATATCCAGTGAAAATTCACAAGTACGTAAAACAATAAGACTTGCTACTTAAGCGAAAAAGTTTCTCAATCGGTATATTAGTAATTACTAAATCTTGTGCATACTACCAGTGCGATGGTAAGATGACGATAAACACTTAAAGCCTGTTTAGGGTTCTTGACCAAATTAAGTAGGTAAGCCGATTGCACAACTTTTTATTCAGTACAAAGGTCAACCGTTTAGACGCGTCTCTTGAATCACAGTCGTCCATAGCACTTGCACCTGTCGGTCCTCCGTTAACTTCATTCCCTTGATGAAAGGCAACGAAGAGTTGCCTAAGACCGTTATTCTGTAAGGCCATGGTATCACTCCGGTCGAACTCACTTGTGCCGAAGCATGGTACTCTGACGGTACAGCGATATTAACACGATAGAGCTGTGTCAATTTCACTGATACTGTTTTAGGGTAAACTAAAACAGCATTAGAACTTTAGCTAGTATTTTTTCGTAGCGTAGAAGGCTAAATTATTCAGACATTTGAAATATACATTCTTCTTTGAAGATAACCATTAATCCTAAATATCGTACTCTTTCCTAACTCTTATTATTATCCTTTCGCGCCTTAACTACTCAACCGAGGACAACGATAATTTGCACACATATTATCAAGGGTAAAGAATAGTAGACCTTTCACCTAGAAATAGAATTGTTCTCGAGAGAAAACTAAAGTGACTGATAAAATTTACATTCACACGAGCGAAGCGGCTGATTAAGACCCGTCGTTAATAAAGTAGTATCGCTACGTCTAGTGTAACCAACCCTTATCGAATACTATTTAGTTCGTAGAAAACTCGCAGTTTGCAACATAATAAAATGAAAACTAAGTTTTAAAGAAGAATCGGAATGAAATACTTTGTTGTTTTACAGTGAATAATTATTAATTGGTTTGCGATTTAAGGCTTATTGAATCGTGGCACTTAAGGCATGACTGTTGAGAACCAAACTAAATATATTTAATATCGATGTACTACATATATTTATGAAGACCTATCTCTTAGCATTCTACGGATTCACTGCGCGGAGGCCATCGCGTGAATCCATGGAAAATCCCTTTGGATCTCCTGCTCCTCGGGGTCTCAGGAGCCATGAGTATGTGGTGATTCCACTAAAAACCATCCCGATGGCCGGCCTAAGGCCCTTTAAAAGACTTACCTCCTGGCTTTAATCGTGTAAAACTCATCTTTCCATCCCCTGAGAACAGGTCATTTTTTTCAGGATAAAAAGCATCCTTGGTCCTTCTCATTATCCCTGGCAATAATCCCACGGAATTTTACGGTGATCAGATAAAAATGCGAAAGCGCATAAAAAACAAATAAATAACACTGCAAAGAAAAGAAAACACAAAAAATATAGATTAACGCCATAGTGACACCAGTCTGCACAAAGTATGTTTTACTCATAGCAAAGAAGAAATTTTTGATAGATTTTACTCTGAGACGTTCTTGTAAATGACGTAAGTAGATAGAGAGCACAAAAAATGTTAAATTATTTATTTAGTGACGTCTATGTGTCCATATTGATGTTAATAGACGTTTATTTTATATAGTTTTGTTACTTATGTTTTTTTTCATTTATTTATTTTCTTCTTTTCCTAATCTTAACTGATTTAGGTGTTACATCCATACAATGTATAACACATATGGTTACTCTAAATATGTATTTGATATTGATATTATGTTGGCAAAGCTTGTAATAATGCAGGTAGGAAATTCATAAGCTTAGAGATTCAACTCACTCAATTTCAAACCCAAAATTAACAACAAACAACTTGCCAAAATACAGAAACTTTGAACTACGATCGTTAGTTTACATCCTAAAAAACTTTAATTTACGTTGTGTGTGTTAGCGTGGGTGTGGGTCTTGCCTATAGGTATGTGTACATGTGCGTGTGCTTGTGCGTATGCTCAGGTATGTATGATAATGCGTATATATTAATATCACACGCAAGACAGATAATGTTTTTAAAGAAGAAACGAAAGAATTAGAGTAATACATAAAAATAAAAAAAATGAGATGTACAAAAGTACCATATTAAAAGTACAACTGATTTACCCCCATTGCTTTTGACTCGTCGCTTTCCGGAGTTCATAAAATACACGGACGACGAACAAAAATTTCGTTACAACTTTTAACAAATATAGTATGGGCACGAAACATGAAACGAAAATACAAACAAGTTTCATTTATCAAGCTCGGGCAGCACCAATTAATTTAATTCTGATAGTTTAGACCCAATCAAACTTTTCAACAGGCGAGATGAGTAACGTTTTTATTTAAGGGAAATTTTGGCCTGCACGGTTCAAATTTTCATACTTCGTTAACTGTTTAATAGCTAGTGTTTTGTTGTTTTAGTTGCTGAATTTTCAGCTAGTGTTTTTATTTAAGGTTTTGCCAGAAATAGTTTTATTATTTATTAACGTGTACACCAGCTTCTCGGACAGTAATTTATCATCTGAGAAGATGTTGTACACTTCTGAAATAAATGTTTTTGTTGCACAAGTTGATACGCTCTTGGAGGAATTTAGAATAAGCCTTATAGAAAACCTCCTAAAGCTTAGATGAATGTTAGATGGACAATAGGTTTCTTACCCACCTCCCATCTCAGTTACTGATAAAATAAACCGCTCATAAAAAGTTACAGAACTTATACCTCATATGTATACGGTCATTATAAATAAATATAAACAAAATCAAATTTAGTAGTAATAATGCAGAAGAAACTGATCAAACACAGTATAAATTAAAACAGGTTCTTATATCTTTATCAACTTAGGTATTTCTTTATCATTTCTTGTATTGTCTACATATTTATATGTTACATAAAAGTGTAATGAGACTGCGTTAAATGTATAAAATGAAGCGTTAACAAATTCAAGTGATGTGAATAGTGGTAACTGATTTTTTTTAAGCTATTGCATAGCTTCTGTCGCGGGCCTTGAGCGTGGAGACCGAATCCAGAAATTCCGTAACGAAAATAACCTAACACTCCCCACTTCGACCGGCACAGCGGTGATACTTTTTACTTTTGCCATCTATCGATGAATAGCAGACCTTTTAATGACTTTTTTGAAATATCACGCTTGTCTCTTTAGTTCAGCAACTCGCCTCTAGGTGGCATTGGTTGTATCGGCGTTACTGCTCATATTCCTGAATAACCTACATGTATTGTAAGATAATTAAAATATTTTGAACAATATTAACTTCTCATTTATTTGATAAAAGAAAAAAAATGTTTCCTTATAGGTCACCACGCTCAAAAAGTGTAACTTGAATTAATATCAAAAAAAAAAACAAAGGAAAAAAAATACTGCATAAATAAAATAAATAAATAATTATAAGTGCATAAGTTGATAAAAAATGCTATGCAATAGCTTTACCGCGGCAGTCCCCGAGTGCCACACGTCTTTTTTTTATTTTAATGCCTAAATCCTGTCATTTAAATTACAATTATTGTATTGAAAGCGCACTTATGTAATGTATTGCAAGTAAATGACTTCAAAGCGCGCGTCAATGTTTACCCAATTTTGGTGCGTTAAGTGAGCATGTGGAAGTCTCATACCATTAAGGTTAGACCAGACATTGGACTGAAATATACCAGCGCCGAGTGGAAAGCGCTTCGACTTCTTATGACATTGTCATGTCTTCATATTACACTTTAATAATTACAAACATCACAACCTGCTCACATCGCGTCGCTATCCGCGCCGTTCCGCCTTCTATCTGAAAAACTGTTTATATAACGCATTAATGTTACCAATAGTATCACTGACAAAAGCTTAATTTTGATATTATTTTAACTTATTAGAATAAGATATTCTAGTCATACCTAAAAAAAAGAGAAAACTTTGCCTAATACAGCCTATAATAATAAAATGTACCACAAAAAATGATGATTCACTATTTCATAATACCAAAACAAATCACCGTAAGGAGTTTATCGGAAGCCTGTCTAAAGTTCAAGGCCAACATAAATCGTGTCCAAAACGAAATATGAAAATGAATATCTTTTGCCATGTTTTATTTTACGGGATAAAGTTATCAGAATACCATATTTACTCTGTATACTGATCATTTCTAATCAGTACAATCATAACTTGTCGTAGATGTGAAAGTATAAACGTTTTAATGTGACTGTGATTTAGAATTTTAACCAATGAACTACATTGAAAGGTTGTGGCCAATTCTGTTGTTCGAAAACTCTCTAAACTAAACTAAAAATCATTATAAATTAGTTTAGTCCTGTCCAAACCACGTTTTGTATTCTAAAAACGTAGCACTTGACAGGAGTTAATAATTTTTTTGTGATTTTTAGTTTAGTTAGTTTTCGAACAACAGAATTAGGTCTATTTTATGACATTCTTAGACTATTTTAACTTTTTAGTATTTTCTTACTCTTACTTCTATTCAATCTTATTTGTTTTTCTTTAAACTGTTCAACTTTAAGGTATAAAATTATTATTTATTAACAGTTGCTATTGCAGAGCCTTAAATATATAAAGCTTTTCATGGCCACGTTTCTGACTAAATTTTTTGGGAATACTCAGCGTAGAGTTACTTTGTGAACCTATTCAATTTTAAAACAATCAATTGTTTACATCATTGAATAGATAAATTGCAAACTCATGAAAAAAAATACTGTCCTGATTTAAAAATAAATATTATTTATATACATGAAATAACTGTATCTCTACTATTTTTCTACAGATTCTGCTCATAGAAGCTGGACCCGAAGAACCAGATGTCACAAGCGTTCCGTCATTCGCACCAGTACTAGGTAGGTCCAGTATAGACTGGAATTACAGAACCCAACCTGAGGAGATGACCTGCAGAGCACAGAGGGGACAGACATGTCCTTGGTTAAGGTATGAACTGTTTTGCTTCACCGAAGGGTAATAAACGAAAGCACAAATCGTTGTACTTTTGCTTGTAACATTTTAACAGTTTTTTCGATTAGTCCAGAATCTTCTATTAGGATTCTAGATCTACTACCAACTTCATCAGATCCTAACTTGATTACTATAGGACTAAACAAGAAAGAACTCCTTTTAAATCTTAAATGAATTTCCTACATTGATCCCGCCGCAAGTAATCAAATAACGGTAGCGCAACTAATTAATCAGAGATATCAGAACCATTTCCTGTTTTTTTTTAAGTTGATAAAATATGTAACTGTGTATATGTCTATTGTATTCTTTAAAAAAACTAACAACTTTAAAATGAAACAAATAGATTATATTTATAACATAACATTTATAATTACAATACATACATACACAACATTTATAATAACAGGAAATAGTACAACATGTTAACAGCGCTGATGAACTCCTGTCAGTCCGACGGCCGTGACCTGCAATCATTTATTGCCTGACATTGAGAATTTGTTGTGTTTTAACTATAAATTAACATTTATGAAAAGCCTAGCTGCTTTTTACACCTTTCTTTGTTTCTCCTTATGCGAATTGATTTAAGAAAATGAATAAATCGATGTACAAGTATTAACAAAACCACGTTCCAAATTCTTAGTAGTGCCTTTCCTGTACGGGCCAACTGTCCTATATGGGCCAACTTTAACTTTATCCAAATCAATTGATACTTTCAAACGAAAGATGGAAATGTGAATTGAAAGTCGGACGTTGAACATTTTATTCTGAATGGGTGTAATGTTCTGAGAACAACGATAAGCCTATAAGTAATATTCTACGTGAATTATTATTTCGCTGTATATTCGAGCCTAGGATTTAGTGTTGTGTCTAACGTCTCCTATTTTTCTCGTATGACAAATGAGGTTTGACTACATGGTTGTGTGGGAAATTTAATGGGATCTAGATGTCGTTTTCAAGGTTATGCTAAACCGAGTCTGGTATGTGGACAAGCGCTAGTTTGGCCAATTATATTATTATCTCGAAAATCGCAGGTGCTACCGGTCTTCCGTCAAGTACCAGAGATTTTCTTTCTAGGTTACACCTGGTTCCCTAGCTACCGGTGACCGAGATGGCGCGTGCAGTTTTAGTCAATTCGAGTCCAACATAACAGCCTACTGATCATCTGGTGGGGAATATTCGAAGGGATTTCCACACGAAAAAAAAGTTGCAGGCACTAATGTTAATTCGGGGTACCAGGGCTTTCCTTTCTAGGTTATACCTGGTTCCCCGGCTACTGATACCTGGAGACGGCATGCAGTTTTTGAGCGGTTGGAGTTCGAAATAATCACCCACTAGTGGGTGGTATCCGAGAGGAGTTCCGCATAGAAAAACAAAACACACTAATATTGATATTATTTTGCCAGATAACAATAAAATGTAATACTTTTTATTATTTATCTTCATTATAAGCTAACAAACAAAACAAGGTATTTTGTTACTAAAAGAATACAGCCCTGCATTTTACTATTGCATTATGTCACTTAGTAGTAATTTTAATAATAGTTTAGTTCTTAATTTTTTGATAGTTACGATTGCACACAACAGTTTTTATACAAAAGCGCACCTTATCGGTGCTGTTTAAAGTGTGATTTACTAAAAGAAATGTTTTTGTCATTATCTACCAGAAATGAAATTGTTAAATACTATGAATCCGAAGTACCTTATAATTATCGGTTAAAAATGAACTTATTACGACGCCAAAAAAAGTTCAAACTTAGACTCAGCAGAATCAAGCCAAATTACACTCTTAAGTATTTCACTATATGTCTTTGGCTATAGATAATCATGGAGAATAGCAAAACTTCTATTTATGGCAACCATCCGTAGGTACACCTAACTTCGACTCGGTAAGCTGAAAAAAAAACTAAGTTGCTTCTTTAGACTAGAGAAATGAAGACTGTACAGAAACTCCAATTCCTCTTTACTTAATTAAGTTGTATAGAACTATGTTGTGTATTGAATGTATAATCAAGTTAAGATATTCTCTCAATGGCTTCATGTAGATTCTATAAATGAAGTCCTTGTCAATCTCAACAGCTTTAGTTGATAGTTAGATAGTAGGAAATTCTACCAATGACAAGGACTCCATAACAGTGTCAATTATTGACAACCAATTAAAATTTGGATACCATTATATGGTTTAGTCGTGACTCTTTTATATTTATAAATGTAATAATCACAAAATATAAAACGTATTTAATGGAGTTGCTGTCTTTGCCTATCCCCTGAAAAAAGGACTTTTTTTTAAACTGATGTCGTTTCGGTAGATTCTGGTATCGCCGAATACAAACTCACTCGTATATAAAGTATTTTTAATATAGCTGTGATCTACACTGTGTTAGTTGTTAATACAACCCTTAATTAACCACCTTCTAGGTAATTGTCTAGGTAAGCTATCAGATACAAAAGAATATAGATTTATTTTGTTTCACACGGTACACATTTTTTAAATATTTATTTTAAAAAGTTTATTTTTGCCAACCAACTTTCATTTATAATTTTACAATTGGAAATTGGTTTTGATACCATACTAATTCATGCCATACAATGCGAACCATTCACAATGTTTGCTAAAAGTAAATTTAAACTTAAAATAGATGAATAAATAATAGGATATAAACAAAATAAGACCTGTACCACAATTCGATACTTATCACCTTTTATCACAGAAGTTAAGACTGCAGTGTACTCACGAGTGTTATGAACATAATTATAGTATAGCTACAACATCTTTTTCTACTTTTCTTTATCTTCTGTGTAAACGTCTCTTTGTAAATTCAATGTAAAACTTTTCCTTTATCTTATCAGCTTGTTTTTTGTAGCTATTGACTAACATTTAAATATAGTATCTGTGGCGACTCCCACATAAACATACTACAGCGCCATCTAATGAAGACACATCGAAATACGGAGTAACTACTAAAATAAGAATTGCTAATCCTGTATCGCGATATAAAGAATTCCCTCGCCGATTAGCATATATACAACTTCCCAACATCAACCGTTGGGGCGCGGCCCGCCAGGCATGATCACCTCGCCTGGTCGGAGGATCCTCCATTTGTGTTGGAGGGACATGACACCCGTTCCTCCACAGTGGTGACCCCGACGTGATTGGAAGCAGCCTTCAAAAGGAGCAGATCATAAGCAGCACCATCGTGTACACTCCCACAGCGATGAGCAGTAATCAAGTCTCAGCCAGCCAGCAACCTCGGCCTCTACAAGGATACCACACGCAGGTAGCGTCCGCTCTAGCCTGGTTACCTCAACGGCCTCATCAGCGTCTAGGCACAGCACACTGCACCTACGGTCCACGTACCAGCACCGCGCACCGCACGCCATCCCGAATCACTGGGATCAGCGGACTTCAGCCCCGACTCACTGGAACTAGCGGCACTCAGTTCCGACTAACTGGAACTACTCACTACTGGCACTGGCACGCTCCACAACAGGGCATAGACAGCTGACTCATCATATATCGACCTCCGGTCTTGGAGGGGAGTGATGTGGCGACTCCCACATAAACATACTACAGCGCCATCTAATGAAGACACATCGAAATACGGAGTAACTACTAAAATAAGAATTGCTAATCCTGTATCGCGATATAAAGAATTCCCTCGCCGATTAGCATATATACAACTTAACAACATCAACCGTTGGGGCGCGGCCCGCCAGGCATGATCACCTCGCCTGGTCGGAGGATCCTCCCTTTGTGTTGGAGGGACATGACACCCGTTCCTCCACAGTATCGTTTAAACGAGTTAGTCAACGATAGCGCCATCCTCTATTGCTTTTGCTTATTTAAAAAGAGACGAAGATGCAGTTACACATATTATTTTAATTGGGATTTTATTTTAGGTCTTCTCTTCTAAATCTGCTTAAGAATTATATAAAGAAGACTGTTGGCTGTAATATATGATCTTATGCTATATGGTTCAACAATTGTGACCTATTATACTATGTTAATAACATATGTTTGTATTGCAGCGGTCGCGTTATGGGAGGATCTAGTGCAATTAATTATTTGGTATATATGCGAGGCAATAAAAGGGATTATGACAAATGGGCTGATCTTGGTAATGTAGGCTGGAGTTATAGAGATGTAAGTTTTTTATAATTTATGGGCCTTGTCCTAATCGACTGTACATTTCCAAAAAACTTCTTAGTGTCTTATGTTTTTAAACTGAAATGTTTTTTTTTAACTCTATTTAAATGTAAAAAGTTGTTTTTTCAGGTTCTACCGTATTTTAAGAAATCAGAAAGCAATCAAGACTTGGAAGCCAACGACAAATATCATCATGGTACTGAAGGACCCTTAAACGTAGAACGCTTTAAGTATGTTGACTTGAATGCTATAATGCTCGTGGAAGGTTTTAAAGAAAAAGGGTTCCCATTAGTAGACTTTAATGGTGATCAGCAAATCGGCACTATGATCACACAAACAACATCCAAAGATGGAAAAAGAGTATCTACTAATAATGCTTTCATAAAACTTATACGAAATAAAAGACCTAATCTCACATTAATAACAAATGCAGAAGTAACCAAAATACTCATAAACAAACAAAAAAAAACTTATGGAATAAGATATATTAAAAACAGTACTTGGTACGAAGTGCGTGCAGATAAAGAAATAATCATAAGCGCAGGTGCTTTAAATAGTCCAAAACTACTGATGCTCTCTGGAATCGGGCCAAAAGATGATTTGAAAACACTAAACATACCAGTGATAAAAGATTTAAAAGTTGGCCATAATTTGCAAAACCACGCCACCACAGAAGCAGTACTATTTAGTCTTATCAATAAGACTTCTACGTTATTATCGGGGGATGAAATGCTGAGAAATATCAAACAATATCATAAACTTGGTACGAAAAACGATCCACTTTCTTCTACTGGTGTTTTACAGATGACAGCTTTTCATAGAACAAAATATGCACGTGAAGATGAAACGGTCCCTGATATACAATTTCATTTTGGTAATATGAATTCAAATGATTTTTATTCAGACCCAACTACGTATTTAGCAAGCGCTATTTTCCCATTTTCTTTCTATGACAGCATAAATGTTAGACCAATCCTGTTACGTCCAGAAAGTAGAGGATTCTTAACATTAAACAAAACAGACCCTACTTTCGGTCAACCATTGATTTATCCAAGATTCTTCACAGTGAAAAAGGATTTGGATACATTGATAGCGGCGCTAAAGTTTGTTACTAAGTTAGAGAATACAAAAGCTTTTAAAGAAAACGGAGCAAAGTTTATTAAAAAACGAGTGAATGCCTGCTCTAAATTTAAATGGGGAACGTATAAATATTTTAAGTGTGTCATAACAAGATATACTGGTACGATATATCATCCATCAGGTACATGTAAAATGGGTCCTTCGTATGACGAACATGCAGTAGTTAATCCAAGATTAAAAGTTTATGGAATTCAAAAACTCAGAGTTGCCGATGCTTCAATTATGCCGCATATTGTTAGTGGAAACACAAACGCACCTTGTATCATGATTGGAGAGAAAGTCTCTGAAATGATTAAAGATGATTGGTATCATTCGTAACATAAATAAAATTATGGTTTAGAATTAATTACCTACTTAAATTATTATCTTTACTAGTGTTATCTTAATACATGAGGGACCTTGAGGACCTAGTGTAATACGATTTAATTTATCGTTTGTACATCCATATTTGTTATTGTAATATTAATAGGTCTCGTTACTCTATTAAATGTCGTTTAAACTAAATATCTTTTGATTCTTACGTATAGTCATATCAACGTAAACTTACCCTTTCATCGTATTGGTAAGTTAACTAATAATAAATTATTTTTTGTTTTATAAATTGTTACTAACATTTACACCAGTCAACTACAGTCAACAGTTCGACAACATTCTACGTACAGAACTTGGATATCGCAATAGTATCGATATAGGAAATGGGTTATGGAGGTCTGACGGAAGTCGCTCCACGTAAAAAATCTAAATTCAGTTGTGACGTACGAGAGTCGTAGTAGACTGTAAGCTGACCCCAAACTAGTTTATATTCCGTGGTTCTTTATATTACATGCGGAAGTCACTGTCCCATGCAACACAGTTTATGCTAGCGCAGAAGTCAGGGGGCCAATAAATTATTATTACTATTAGTTTGTGAAAAAAGCTCGGCGGATGATGACGGTGGTATGGTAGTGTTCCTAGCATATTATGTATTAGACGACTAAAAATAAATGCCGTCGTCGTCAAAGAAACAAGTCCCAGTATAATTACACTTTTGAATATGTAATACTGTGAGTAATAAATTATTATTTCACAATCTCACTTAAGTACGAGTAAATAATATTTGCAAACAAAAATGCTCATATTATTCTGGGATTGATAAAAGTTTCTCACTTTGTTCTCTATTTGTTTAATTAAAGATCATCGTCAAAGTTTCCAAGAATCGTAAAATTTTTCTTCGATTGTTTACAAACAATGCACGGATGGCGTAGTGGTTTAAGCGGTCACCACGCCGCTTCCTACTACGCCGAATGTTGTGGGTTCAAACCCCACAAGGGACGACACTTTGTGTGATCCACAAATTGTTGTTCTGAGTCTGGGTGTTCCTTGTGTCCGTTTGATGTATGATTGTAAAGCCCCCCGCGACACAGGATATATTCCTAATGCGGGAGTTGTTTTATTTAAAAAAAAAAATGCTACAGTAATTTTACATTTTTGTACAAAGTAGATTTAGTTACTTTTGTACTACGCCATTTTTTTGTGTTTAATTAATTTATCTACGCACCCACTCCGTAGATTCTGAAGGAGAATTAATTTTTTGTTCTCGCTTCAAAATAATTTGTGTTTTAACATAAAATATGTATTCTTGTATAACCTCGTTTTAGTAACAGCAATCACAGAAGTAGAGCTTTATTTAGGACGAATTTAAAGACGTTGCTAATTTGACTACCAAATAAGTGTAGCGAAGATTTAAGTTGTAAGATGTTCACATCGAGTATCTTACAACTGAATATAAATTCAATATTTACATGACGTTAGCTTTAGCGATACACACAAATGTAGATTGTAGACGACAGTGATGAAGATTATAAATGTCTGATTTATATTCTTAAAATCAAGTTAAACTGCTCTCTCCCTTTTTTCATATAAAATCTACTGCTACTGACAGTTTGAAATTGGAAAAAAGTTATTTCGTTTCACGGCGTGGCGAGCCAGAGATTTGACAATCAGTCTTTACATTTTTTTGACAGGTCATGTGATTTTATAGAACACTCTTTCATTGGTTGTCTGTAACGCAAATCTTTGAGCAAATATATAAAACTTTATTTTTTGTAACGTCAAATTTGTCAAATTGTGTTGTATATATAAAGTTGCGGATAGCACACACTATTAAAACCACAATACTAGTATTTATATTGTGTTCTGCACCTATTTATTTTTCTGTTAGTTCGTAGAATTACCTGAATATGTAGTGTGTTCATATGTTTATTTAAAATTATTGTTCGTTTTTAATTTTTTGTATTGCACAATCAAAGTGGCACGTATTTTACTTGCATTAAATGTTACAGTTGAATAAAAGATTAGAAAACTTTGATTTTTTGTGTGCTAACATTACGAATTCATTTTAATCTAAACATTACACTCAACATACTAGTTGATCGTAAACTATATCCATAACACGTCAAATGTCATTAAAATAAAATTAATAAGAAAAAAGTATAATTGCAAAACCTTTTTAATTTTTAATTTTGTAAAATGAATTCGTAATAACTCACATTATACAGAGAATTATACATAATAATGTTTTATATTGTCATTACAGAGGAAAAACTATGGGTGGATCCAGCGCAATAAACTACATGGTCTATATCAGGGGGAACAGAAGAGACTATGATTCCTGGGCCGAGCTCGGTAATGAGGGGTGGAGTTATAGAGAGGTCAGTGGACAGTAAATAGACGAATGAGCAGAGCGATTCTATTAAACAATCATACAGCCCAAACACTACTATAGGTGTACCTGCACATAGTAGTGTGTATCCACATAGGACTAGGTGACACATACATACAGGACACAATATTCTTACTAATTTAAGTATCATCTCTATATTTTCCATCTAGTACAGATAAAACAAATACAATTGATGACGAGCCAGGATACATTATAATGAAGTTTATAACGTGTATTGCATGAAGATATAATGTTATTTCTTGAATAACTATATAATCTACCACTTACTTTGACATGACATAGAAGCAATTCAAAACACTTATTTAATACTTTTACTGTTAAATTTATACAAATTTTCTATACAGAAATGAGTTAATATTGAAGTAAAAAAATTTAGAAATGTATCCCTGTTAAGAACATTTAACAGTGTCTTAATAATGTTTGTTACAGGTACTACCATACTTCAAAAAAGCTGAAAACAACCAAGATCTAGAAGCCCATGACAAGCACTACCATTCGGTAGGTGGTCCTGTCAATGTTGAAAGATTCCGATACCTCGACATCAATGCTATGATGCTTCTACAAGCTTTTAAAGAAAAAGGTTTACCCATTAACGACCTAAATGGCAATAATCAAATGGGAACTGATATCATTCAAAGTACGTCAAGAAATGGCCAGAGATTCTCCGCTAACTACGCATACATCAGGACCATAAGACGCAAACGACCGAACCTACATATCATAAATAGCGCATTTGCTACTAAGATACTTATTGATCCTATTACAAAGACAGCTTTTGGGGTTGAATATCTCAAAAATGGTATTCTATATACAGCTCATGCAACAAAAGAAGTAATTGTAAGTGGCGGCACTATAAACTCTCCAAAATTACTGATGTTATCTGGTATTGGTCCTAAGTATCATTTGAAAAACCTAAACATACCTGTTTTAGTACATTTAAACGTGGGTAATAATCTGCAGGATCATGTCACTACCGACGCTTTTATACTGGCTTTAAGTAATAAAACCTCCACAGCTGTAAGTGGTCAGGAGTTATTGGCAGAAGTAAATAAATATTATGCCCAACATTCGCCAAAAACTGGTCCACTGTCTACTACGGGTACTTTACCAGTCACTGCTTTTATTAGTACAGATTACGATGAGGTTCCTAATATTCAATTTCATTTCGATGGGAGAAATGTTAGAGAGTTTTACTCAGATCCAACCACGTATTTGTCTACAAACATATTTCCTTTAGCATTCTATGATGGACTTGCTGTTAGACCTTTGCTATTGACTCCTAAAAGTAGAGGTTACATACTATTAAACCATACAGATCCAACTTTTGGTCCACCATTGATTTACTCTAGATTTTTTACGGAAAGAGAAGATGTTTATGCATTGTTAGAGGCATTTAAATATGCTATGGATATGGAAGAGACGAGTGCATTTAAGGCTAGCGGTGCTACTTATGTTAAAATACCCGTTGAAGCTTGTTCTTCGTACGAATGGGGTACAGAAGATTATTTTGTTTGCTTGTTGATTCAGTACACTTCTACTATATATCATCCAGTTGGTACGTGCAAAATGGGGCCAAAGTATGATAAGGACGCAGTTGTTAATTCAAGATTAAAAGTATATGGTATTGAACGGTTACGGGTAGTTGATGCTTCGATTATGCCGCTAATAGTAAGAGGCAATACTAATGCTCCAACGATAATGATTGCTGAAAAAGCTTCTGATATGATTAAAGAAGATTGGTTTTAAAAACTTTTGATTTGAAACAGTAACAGTACAGTTTAATGTTTTGTACAGTTTGTAGTATAATGTAATAATTTATATTATATATCGCAGTCCCCAACGAACACTATGGTAATCGCTATTACGATAGAATCGGGTTTATTAGATATTCGTTATCTACACACCCTATTACAATCATTGAATTTTTTTTATGATCGGGCGATGAATACTTTTGGATTTATCCATTCAATAATGATCTTTATGTTTTTGTTCAACGTATAACATAAGTGAAAAATTTACACGATCAATAACGCAAAAACCTATTACCAAATCTCAAAAGTCAACATTTTAGAGTGAGCGGCTATTACCATATTGTTCGAGGGAAAAATGACAGAATCAGAATCAGAATTTATACATAGGTACCGAAATGGTTATAACACCTAAAAATTATCATCGAATAAGCATGTAATTTATGTTTACCGTAATATTAAAGTCAGTTATATCATCGAATACGATTGCAATGTCATTTTACGAATATAAAGTATATTCATATTTACCAAGGAACAATATCATAATGAACGATTACTACAGCAACACCGATTTGTGATTACAGTCGAACACTATCGTAAAGTTAGTTTGCGTTAATTTTTTCCATAGCTTATTTCAGTAATGGACATTTTCACAATTTTCTTACTGCTAAAGAAAATTTATGATAAAAATTTAGTAAAAATCTAGTGCAAAAAAATATTTCCTTATTTTTGATAAAAGAATCTTCTTTTTAGTCTTGATAGTATTCAAGATATTCAGTTTTTATTTGCTCCTGTAAAATTGTTATTTTCCTATTACGATTTTGTTCGTCGGGACTGCGATATGTACCTTTAAATGACATAGTTCAGATGAAACCAAAAATTGTTCTACTACAAGCTTATATTAAGTTAGTTTTATAATGTTTTATGACTTATAAATTATTTTTTATTTCTACCGTAAATAACCTTTACTAAAACCATTTCAATTCTATTTTCGTTATGCCCTTGCTTAGTATATTATTGTAAATATCGTTCTAATTACATATTTTATGTGTATAAAATTAACATTAAATTGTTTATTTCTAAAAATAAACACACATACGATATAGTCACGATAATTTAATTAGAATAAGGCAATAGTTTAGAGAGTTAGAAGAATTTAGAAGGCGGATTTCACCATAATAATATTAAGGTTAAAGTTTTGTATTTTTAATTTTATTAAATTAATGATAGTCAATAACATAGTCTTATTATTTTTTTATAATATTTGTTAATCATATTTTTTTTATAAATACGTAAACTGTATTACTAATAATTCGGGAGTGCACAATGAGTTGTGTGTTTCAGGCTAAGACGGTTTAAATCGATTGAACGCCATATGTCTTATATCTTTTGTTGATAGTAGTACCAAAAGAGACTTGACACATGCATACAGCGTGTCGCGGAAAGAATGTATAACCCAGGAGCGCCTTAGCTAATTTTTTTTTGAGTTTTAATAAATAGATAATGAATGACTCTGTAAACTTTATTCATATAGAAGAATATGTATTAAAGATGTACGTAAAGTAACACCAACAAAACTACTTGAAACAGTGATAATTTATACAAATACGAAGGCTGTATTCATCGCGGGGAAACAAGAAAGTTGGTACAAAGACCAACAGAATGTACCGCTGAATCATCTACGAGAACGCCGCGAATAGAGCCATTAAGTAAGCGATATTATAAGGAAATTACTAGCTGTACCCGGCCACACTTCTCTGTGGTACATTGTGTAATAATGTAAAAACAATCTTTGAAGTGGATTGTATATCGTGTCAAAATTTGAGCTCAATCGATGCAGAACTTTTTGAGTTTTTGAAGCATGCACGAACCAACTAAACATTTTTACTATGGAATTTAAGTTGATATTTCTCTAGATTTGATCTTTTTCTTATTTAAAGGAACTTTAATGGGATAACTCTCCGAACGTTATAATATCGGAACGATATTTTTGTTGTCATCTCTATAAATTAGTTTCCTAAATAATATATTTAAGGAGTCAGCTTCAGGTTCCTTTTAAAATTCATAGCGTTGTAAGCTCTTCTTGGAATTGAGTGTGGTTATAATTTTCATTTCTATTCTGAAGACACTTTTTGAATCGACAACTTCGAAAGAAAACTATGAATGACAGCTACGAATTTTATAATATAGTTGATTTGAGAATCTAAAACGTCGTTCCGCTATTTTCGTAGCTTTACCCAAGACCCATCTGCCGTTCCTACGCCCCCATTATCTACTTCCATAAACCGCTGAGAAGCAAACAATCTGTAGCTTGTGTCCTCACTCTAAAATCACCACCGTTTTACTTTGACCTACTACCCTCTCGGTACAGGTCCGCATGCTGTAGTTCTCGATAAATCGAGGGGTCTTGCCACATTGGCTATTCTGTAAATTTTACAACGCCATAGACTTAAAACTTCATCAAAGTGTTATAAATAAATAGAAGTGTGTTTTCCGTGGTAAGAAGCGTTTAAAAGGAACATTTTAGCACTTGCACGTGTCGATTAAACAGTTGTAAGACTATTTCGGAAACTTTATTTTTTATTTTATAACCTGAAGTCCAAAAAGTGAAGGCCCTGTAGCTCTCCTGTTGGATTAAGTTAGGCTACAAACGTGTCTTATCACTAACATAAACTACAACATAAACATAAAACGGTGTTAGTATTCTTGCAACTTATTTTGCATTAATAAATCTCCTACTGCATACTCGTACAAGCAACGATGGGCACGTTGGGCAAATTCAAGTTAAAGAAAGCATTTACTGTTTTCGAGAGAATACTTTTAGCGCGACTGAAACAGCAAATAATATTCAATTTTATATAAGTATAATCGAGAGTAATTAGGTTTATGGTACTCAGTTATAGAGAAGCTTAAAGTTGTATCGTGTGTGCCACATCACATAAACAGCCTTTAATAGTGCACTGCTTGACATAGGTCTCTCCTTAAAAAGAAAGTTTTGGTCTACTACACCACACTGGCCAGACGGGTTGGTATAGGCTTTGTGTCGAGTTTTCCTTCTCTTTGCAGTACTGATGTCCTGCGTAGTTTGCTCCCTTTGTCGGGTGAATAGGGGTGGTAATACTCCGTATTCTAAATCAGTCACCACACGGACAATATGTTTTTCAATGTATCATTTTAATACTAACTTTTAAACTTTCGCGTTTCATGATAATTAATATTATTTAACGGGAATTAACGCGATCTCTTCACAGGCTGACAGTCAGCCAGTCAGCCTGTGACCACGGCCGGTGCAACCTGGTCGAAACGTCAGGCAAACCAGAGGTATGTAATACCCTAAATAAGAGATCGCGTTAATTCCCGTTAAATAATATTAATTATCATTTTAATGTTTTATATTATATTTATATATTTATTCTTGTTTTTATGGACTTGATTTTTATAAAAAAAAAACATTAAAATCCATGAACTAAAATTGGATTCCTTTATTTCTCGTTTATAAAGCCTATTTATCCTCGACTAGCTTTTATTTTAAATAAATGGCATGGTACCGAAGTCTCTTGAAATCCCTCGTCGATTTCGGTAACAATAACATTTGCATCTCACTCATCGAGATATAAATTGAAGAGGTGACATTGGAAGAGTTTTTCCCAAGCCCACTAGAAGCACGGAGGAGCCACGCTCCATACTCTCCAAAAGAAAAGGTAAAGTAAGGCAAAAGTGAACACGTTGTTAGTGCTTTCTACTTTTGGTTGTCTTACCTTGCCTCTTTTCCCCTTGACTCTCTCTTCTGAGATGAAGTCGGAATGAAACATGCTAAATGCAGATGACTTAAACTCTTGTGACCTTCGCACGCTACGAGGGGCTCTATTATAGTCTGGTTAAGCGGTATAGTCTAGCGGCATATCTTTATCGGTGTAGGGGTTCTAGTTTAAACGATTTAAGTTTCGAACGTACAGTTTGTAATTTGTTTATGGTTTTGAGTTTTAGTTAATCTATTAGTTACTCTTAGACTGAATGAACTAAAAGTTTAGTTTTTGCACTATTGTTTACCACACTAACGGATTAATTAATAATTATGGGCACGGATTTTATGTATGCAATACGAAAAGAAAATCTTTCATAGTTACTATTTTTTCAGACTGTGTTTTACATATGAATAAAAAGATAAAAATGAGTAAAACGCTCCATTATTCATTTGAAACCCACAAAATGAACAGAGAGAATAAAAAAAGAAACAAATGAAATTAAATTATTTTTGTCAGCATTTAATTAGCATTAAAGGTATAAATTAGTACAAGTATACTTTTAATAGTGCGTTTAAAACGTGTGAAATTTAAAACGTCCATATAAGTCTGTATTCAAATATTAACAGTGCTACATCTTGTTCTAATTACTTCGTAAAATAGAAAAACTTCTCTAAAACTAATATACCTAGTAGTTAGTTTTTATTTCAGCCGAACGGCACATGAGAATGTTATATAAATCACTGCGAAGTGCAATGGGCAACGTGTGTGTAAAGTTGCACTGGAACTGAAAATTTATTTGTAAACTTTGAGATATTAACTTTCACAAGTAAATAAAGTTTATGACGTCATCGAACTAGAAATGCTTGTACTTACCCCTAGGTAAAATGTTTTCCTCGTGGATTATGGTGTAAAAATAGTAATCACCGCTAGACATTTTATTAGAGATGCAAGAATATTGCAGGATATGTAAAAATCGAAAACAAAACGATTTATAAATGTGTTGTCGTATTAATAAAAACAAAACTGAATTTTTTCTTCAAGGCAAGGTCGACTTGTCGGCATTTCCAATTTTTATTCGGGAGTCATGCGCCATGACTGGTTTCTTCATGGCCAGCTTTCTAATATGTTTTTTTTTATATTCTTCTCATAAAACAATCATAGAATATGTACAATGTAAATATGAAAAATATTATTGCCATTAAAATAAAACAAATAAACAGTCTCTTCCAGTGGCTCATACAGAATAGAGGAA